ATTCCCCGTTGCGAACTGGTGGGGTGAGCGCTCCGGCGTGGAAGACTCGTCATATGGTTGTGTACCATGTGTATCATTTCCAGTGAACCGTCTAACTGAGCAGCACAATCCTGCATACCGCTAGTTGCTTTTTGACACAGCTTATACTTACTCTCTCTGCTTGCAAAAATGATAAAAGTCAAATTGTCTCTTTTACATTCTTGGTCTTCGTCCATAAACGCACGTTTGACGGAGATACAGGATGTTGCGGTTCTTCGACAGACGACGGCGGCGACTCACGCGGTCTTTCACACACACGCACACACACACACACACACGCACACACACACACACACACACACACACACACACACACACACACACACACACACACACACACACACACACACACACACACGCATCACATTACACGCGAGCACGTGGTGCCATCAGTCGCGGTCCTTAACTTCGCGTTCCATCTCGGCTTCAACCGCTGCCCGCACAGCAGAGACCTGTACACACACGCGCACGAAGAAACGAGGGGGGCATGGGGGAAGGGAAATATGAGGTCGACACACGCACGCACGCACGCACGCGTGTGCTTGAGCATGTGCATGTCTGTGTGTGTGTGTGCGTGTGTGTGTGTGTGTGTGTGTGTGTGTGTTCGTCTGTCTGTCTGTGTTTGCATGCAAATTTGCATGTGTGTGTGCGTGCACCTTTGCGTCGTGGTCTGCCTGCGCCTGCTGTGCGGCCTGCTTCGCCGCCGTCGCCCGTCGCATCTCCGCCTCCAACTCTGCCAGCGTCGACTCGCAGTTCGAGTGCCTGATGATGATGATCATCATAATCAATGATGGTGATGATGATGGTGGGTGCAAGGTGAGTGAATGTGTTCACAAGTGCGCTCAACATGCGTGTCTGTCTGTCTGAGTGTCTGTGTGTCTGTGTGTCTGTCTGTGTGTCTGTCTGTGTGTCTGTCTGTGTGTCTGTCTGTTTGTCTGTCTGTGTGTCTGTGTGTCTGTGTGTCTGTGTGCCTGTCTGTCTGTCTGTCTGTCTGTCTGCGTATGCATATATGTGGTTGCGCGCATCCGACACCCTCCCCTCCCCCCTCCCGGCACGGCCTCAGCGCGCGCACCAGGTCGACATGAGTCCGATCATCTTGTCGATATCGCCAGGAACAATATCGCGCCCAAACGTCCAGTCCGCAATCAACTGCAGCGCAGACGTGCACGTGTGTCGTGAGCTCTGTTCCACATCACATGGGTGTGGCTGTGCAATGACACTGGTCAAACACGCACACAACAACGCACATACTCATACACGGCATAACGCACAACCCACACACAAACACGCACAACCCACACACACACACACGCACAACCCACACACACAGAACACGCGCGCGCACCCTCTGGTTTGCTTGGTCCATCTTGCCGCCAATGAGTCCGCGGTAGATGGCGTCGATGATGAGGTCCTGTCGAGTCACAACATATGCCGTGAGCACGCAAGCATCCGTTTAAACGTGTCAATATCCACCACACACACACACACACACTCACACTCACTCACACTCACTCACACACTCACACTCACTCACACTCACACACTCACACACACGCACTCACACACACACACACACTCACTCACACACTCACACTCACACTCACACTCACTCACACACACATACACCCTGCATGCACACGCTGCTTATGTTGTGTGCACACCTCAAGTTGTCTTGTGTCTGCCGTGTCCAACTGTTCTTGCATGACTTGATAAGGCACCCTCTGCGAAGCGCGATGAACAAGACCCAGTCAAGTCGACAACAATGAGAATGAAGGTTAACTTTGAGCACTGTCAGTGGTTAGCCTCGTGTTCACCGTGCGACAGCCAACATACCTTGAGCTGTGTTGCGAGGGAGACGATGGTGAGCAGCTTCAGCTTGCGTGCCTGCTTATCATTCAACTCCGGCAACTCTGCAGCGCGTGCTGCATCGACCAAGACCGTCAAGTTGGAGATGTGGGCGTGACAGCGAAGATATAGCCGTGACAGTGGGGGGGGGGATGTGAGGTGTACACATTCACACACATGTGCGTGCGCACACACACACACACACACACACACACACACACAGACACACAGACACACAGACACACACACACACACACACACACACACACATGCACGCGCACGCACACACACACACACACACACACACACACCCTGACCTTTGTAGTCTGGGTAGGTGCCAAAGGCAAAGAGCTTGAGGAGCTCGAGGTGAGCGGCGTGTGGACCGCCTTCCAACTCCGTCACCTGGGGCAGGTCCAACAGCTCCCCAAACGCATGCACATCTGGCGCGCTCGTCGCCTGTTCACATCCACACGCACACATACAAGGGCCATCATGCGTGAGAGGTGGCTGCACGCTGCGTGGCATGCGCGCCTTCACACCCCCCCCCCTGCACCAGCTGCACCAAGCGCACACTTGCACGCAACGTACAGCGCACCTTCTTGATGATCTCCCTGCAGCCTGCACCGCGCGCCGACTTGGCGAGCAGCAGCACAGCGTCCAGTCCACTGTTCGGGTCCATCGTCGTCGTTGTGTGTGTCGTCTTGTGAGTGAGAGAGAGAATTGAATTGATTTGTGTGTGTGTGCAGAGAAGACGAGGAAGGACAGCCACAACAACACCCAACAACACAACACCCACAACGCACTGACCCCCTGCAACCCCCCCCCCCCCAATCCTCCGTCCCTTCCTCGCTGGTGGCCCTGTATTGCCTGCCGCACACTGATCCCACCGAAGACATGGTGGGAGGAGGTCGAGGCGGTGTGCTCGACCGCGCCACGGTGCTGATGTGCGCGGCCAATATCGGCATCTCCTACTGCGATCGCGTGAACATTGCCGTGGCTGCCGTAGTCATGTCGACCACCTATCACTGGTCCCACATCGACCAAGCCACGGTGCTCGCTGCCTTCTTCTACGGCTACGTTGGATCACAGCTCATCGGGTGCGCTGTCTGTGTGTGTGTGTGTGTGTGTGTGTCTGTGTGTGTGTGTGTGTGTGTGTGTGTGTGTGTGTGTGTGTGTGTGT